TATATTTTTTTATATATATATCTCTCAGTATATTTTAAAACAGGTAGCTTATATGAGGTTTTGACAATGGTTTAGCTAGGCAGTAAGCCCAAACTTCACTGGAAAATAACATCTTTGGTTAAGGCTAAGTAAGTTACACAAGATGCCTTTCAGGAACTTGATACTTTTCTGTTCACAGTCCAGCCAGAAACATCCTTAGAGAAAAGCCATTATATTAACTGCACTGAAACCAACTTTCAACCTTCAGTCATTTTTTGCACGAAAAAGGCAGGAATGGGGGATACACACCTAGATGTAAGCGTGGTGGTAGTGAGCCAGTTGAAGACCGGTTTCTAGCACTGTTTAAAAGGAAAACAAAGGAATCAGTATGACTACAACACTGCTGTACAACATTTCGACTACAACACTGCTGTACAACATTTCTGTCTCTGAGGAGCCTGTTTTACGGAACATGAGATCCTCTTGAGACCTATGCAGAATGAGGGTAGGCTGCTGTTTCCTCTTTCCTTTTTTAAATCTAAGTAGATCCACCATTACATTTCCATTCTTGGAGATATTCAGAAGCCATTGGGACATGGTGCTGGGCAGCTGTAGGTGACCCTGCTTGAGCGCGGGGGTTGGACCAGGTGATGTCCAGAGATTTCTGGCCTCCTCAACCACTCTGTGATTCTCTGAGCTGATAGTGGCCCTGAGTTCATACCCACAGCACCATAACACCTCCGTGTGCCTATGATCTCCCTCCTGTATCAATTTTTATTCTTTTTTGTTAGAAAACCTACAGTTTCTTTTATGGCCTGGTCACTTCATTGGGAACAAGCTGCCTGCACTCTTTTCCTTTACAGTTCATATTTCTCTCCTGCTTAAATGAACTGCACAAAAAGCTCTGGGACGAATATGTTAATTATATTTGCTGAACAAAACCACACTATCATGACTTGATTCATGGGAGAGAATTAGCCAAATGGGGCCTCTGCTATAGTAAAATTTGGCAGCGCTGTTTGAATGTAAGCAGAAGTGTTCATCTTAAGAATAGTTCCTATTTGCATATGACCTTGCTGTTGCTACTGCAATATTTGTTCTACTGGGGTGTCAGCAGTTCCAGAGCATGATGGTAAATAGGAGGAATTCATCAAAGAGCCATTAAAAAAATACAGACCTTAGAAAATGTACTTGAGACTTAGACTCAAGGAGCCCACTGTAACTTATCAAAGCTTGGTCTGTTGCACACTGCATCAGAAATCAAAATTTAATTAAGGGCTCTTCCATCTAGCAAATGAAGACATAGCAATCTAATACATGGAAGTTGAAGCTAGAAAGAAATCATAGTTGAAGCAAGGTTCACAATTTTAATAGGAATTTTAACGGTTAGAGGAAATTCCACATTCAATTCTAGATGGTGAAGGTGGTGGGGGTTTAGTTCTGAAGCAATTAGTAGTCACAGCTGTAGCATTTAGGCTCCTAGAGCAGAAACCTGTTAGAGAAGGACCTCTGCCCTACATCCTGCATAGGTTTGTATGATGATGATCCCTTCCCAAAAGGGCCTGTCATTCTTGGGGATCCTGGATGCAATGGCAGAGAACAGAAGCATTGAACCATTTAGGCCCTAAAATACTGCCTTGACATAAACCTGAGAGAGGTTTTTTTTTGGTTGCCTTATGTCCTCTGTCATCTGCTTCACTGGATGCAGAGCTTCAGTTATATGAAGGATTCTCTTTGATAGCAAGAACAACACAAATTATCATGTAGTGGAGGCAAGGGTATAGCTGAAAAATAATGTACTACTTCAAGTAGTTGCCTTGAGTTCACCTGAGAACCCTGTAGCCACCTACATACTATTATTTGCAAAGTTGCAGAGAGATTCACAGGAATGACACAATAATGGGTGAAACAAACCTTTCTGCATTAGTCAGAGTGTTGGATCCTGGCTTAGGTGGAGGCTTGACAGATTTGGATGGGAATGTGTTGGAGCTGTATGGGGGCAAAGATAACTGTGGCACTGGTCTTTGGGGTGCAGCTGCGGAGAGGAAGAGAAGGAAATGTCAAACTTCTGAAACATTCTTAAATGAGGTAGAATGAAGAACTGCTGTGGCATTGCTGCTGTTTAACTAGATAAGCATAATGGAGGAAACTGTTCTATAAAATGTCCTTGATATGTTAGTTACAGATTGTAATCTTAAGTATTAAAATTACAAATAAACTCGAATAGGCTTGAGCAACATTTACATTTACATGTTCTACCTTTGGTTTTATATAAGCCAAAATTCAGATAACTGCTGTAGAGCTGAAGGTGGTACATTACTGTATGTTCTCTGTTACGTTGTTTCTAAAGAGTGCACTTGAGGTTACCTTCTTGAACTTCATTCCTTTGTGAGATTTCTACCACATCATCATAAACAACAGCATAAAATAAAACATTTTCTTTCTGCAGTGTCCTCAGAAATCAGCTACTGGTAAGAGGGGGGCAGATGAACTGTGCTCTGCACAGCTTAAACAGCACTCTTCTTCACTGAGGCTTAAAGGCAGTGATAATTTATAGACTTGGCCAGATGTTCTGCTTCTGTTAGGGCATCACTTTACCAGCTTCATTTTAGGAACCAGGATTCTGAAGTAATTTATAAATACCAATATCGTGTGAAACGAGTTCTACTTCTGTCCATTAGAGTAAATAACATTACACAGAAGACCAGCAGGGTCTGACAGGATGTTTGATTGCAGGCTGGAAGGGTACCGGGTCTACATGCCCAGCTGCCTGATGTTTGATGCTGTGTGCAGACCACAAATCTTTAAAATGAAATGTATTTCAAAATAAGGAACCCTGCTGTCCTGTAAGTGGCTGAATGAAGGGTCTATTAGCTATTGATTTCCTGTGTTTTGCAGCTTTGATATATACATCTGCAGGAGGTACATTCTACAACCCATCAAGATACCACCTGACATTTTGAAATGCCTTTAAAGAAAACAACTTTACAATCACTTTTTTCTTTTTAGAAATTAAACCAAGAAAGACTTAAAGTTTTAAAAATCACAGTAGAGATACTCACTGTCATCTTCTTCCTGGGGAGCCAAAAGAAAATAAACATTAGCAACATACTATAGCACAAGTCTTAGGAATATTTTACAAAATAAAACCCTGGAAGTTGGCGTATTTTGAGTATACAAGGACTCCAATTCTATAATGTCACTTTCATCTAAGCTGCGGGGTTTCTATATTCATCCAACACCAAATCATTTTTCAAGTTCTACTATTACAAATAAGGTGTGAGGTAGATTTCCCATAATGGATCTTGACCCAAAGTAGTAAGAAATTCTCAGCAGATGTAAACTTTCCCCATTCCATCAGAAAGTGTAGGCTATGAGTTATCTGAAAGTGAACTCCGTAGGTCAGCTTAAGATGGAAAAGAACCCCAAAACGCCAAAACCTAGTGTAAGCAAAATTGCTTCTCCCATGACAGAAAAGAATTCTGGTCTTACTATGTATCTGAGACAAAGTACTCTGGGAATAAACTGAGCCTGACGTAGAAGAACTGTTCAAAAAGAAACCATGAGTAATTTTTATAACTGACAAAAATATGTTTATCTTTTCCAGAATTATTAGTTTATACAGGTACTTCATTTTATTGTAGTCCCTATACCTTTAAACATTTGCTTTGAGACTATACTTACTTGAGGTGTTTTGTGTGGTGGCCAACCCTGCCTGAAATGAAACAGAGAAAACAATATATGAATCATAGGTGGAATGTTACTCATGGACTTTGTGTGCATTGGGCTGTATTTTCAACTAAGACATGAATTTATATTAAGTATACAGACCTAATGAATGGAGAAACATTTTTTCCCCCATAAAAGTATCTGAGATTCTAATTTTCAGCCGTAAGATGTCACACTAGTCCTTAGCCCATCTTGACTCTATCAACAAGGAAAACATCTGATGAATTGATTATGAGATTACAACTTCAGTTTTTACAATTATGGAATGTTAGACTTCAATTCTTGAACTGCTTTCTAGTACTTAGCAACACCACTGGAGCACACGCTAAGCCTTCCAGTTATCCTTTCTCTGATAAATTATCCTTGCCGATTAGCAGATCTTGATTACTTTCTTAATCTGTTTTAAGATCAGTCACACTGTTGAGCCCACAAGTTATCTAGAAAATGCTGGAGAATGATCTAGTTCTGCTAAAGAAAGCTGTTTGCTGTTGAGAAGGAGCTTTGCAGGTGAGTAAAATCAATGGTAGGAAAGTAAAGCTTTCTTCTTCTACTGTCCTAAAAACAATAGCCAGAGAACTCATGAAGGAATGTTCCCTAGAGGAAGAACTTGATCTGGTCAAGTTCTTGATCACCTTTCTGTTTCAGTTTTAGTAAAAACCATGGATCACCCATTTCTTTATTCAACTTGGCTGTTTCAGATGTGGCTGGGGAGATCTTTTTCTGCATTCAAACTCTTCTGTCGCTTAGAACATGGCCCATGCATGTTCATGGAGCAAAACTGATAACTACAGACACTGCTGTCATGCAGAGACAGTAAAGTCTACTATCCTGTATTGCTTATCTGTATTTTTATTGAATTGAATTTATCCTTTATTAAATTTCAGTTAAATGAACACTTGCCTTACAGGGGTTGGCTTCCTTAGAGGGGCTGGATTGCCTCTTTCATATCTGTCACTGTGTGGGACAGGAGGTTTTGGCATCATTGCTAGCTGTTCCCCCAGGGATCTAAAGCAGGAGCAAGATGATGAAATAAAGACAAAAAGCTGCTTACTAAGAAATAATTGGGTAATACTGGCAACAAGAGTCTCATCTCCAGAGGCAAAACTCTTACCTTAGCTGTGAAGCCAGAGGCTGTAAAGCAACAAGGAATAGTTAAGAGAATGTGTAAGTATATCAAAATAGGTGAAAAATATCAATAAGCACCAAACAAAAAGACTTTACCTTTTCAGGAATGCTGGGCTTCCTCCCTGAAAATAGTGAAAGCTTACATTCAGAAAAAATCAAAGGTAAGATCATTAAAATTTCTATAAACAAACAAGTTTTGAGCAGCATTGAAATTGAATTTTGCAGATTGAAGCATTCGGCCTCCTGAGGTGTAAGCCAGACAATTTTTTTGGCTTTGCAAGAAATAGCAAAAGTGCAGTATCTCTTATTATACATTTCAGAGTGGCATGTTTTACAGTCATATTTTCTATGGTTCAACTTTTAATTACTGGATATTTTTATGCTATTTTATAACAAATGGAAGTGTTTAATAAATAAAAATCATTGGGTATCTATTTAGATTCTCTATAAAATGTAGTTTTCAGGTCTGAAACAAATACAATTTTTTTCCTATGTTTTTTCAGTTCTCAGCATTCTTTGAAGTCAGGGTGCCAAATTACATAGAGTGATGTATGCAGTTTCATTAGCTTTGTATGCAAAAATTATTTCCTCTTTTAACCTACTAAATAGTTCCTTGTTCACTTAAGTAATTGCCTCAAACCTTTATTGCACAGGGAACGCCTAATGTCTTTCTGTTCAACCAGTCATGAGTGAGGCTTGCTACTTTCTAGATACAATTTCTCTTGCTTTATAAGTACTGTTCACATTGTTTACTCATAAACAGATCACCTTGTGTGTGATCAGATTACAGTACCTTTGGTTGAGCCTTGTTCATTTGCATGAATGATATTCAAACTGGTAATTTTGAATAATTAAAAGCCCCATTGATATTAGCACAAGCAAATACTGACCTGGTCCAGGGCTTTCTCTTTCAAATGGTGGAACAAGGCGATCCAGTGAGGGCTTTGTGCTTCTGTCTATAGAAGGAGCTGGGGCTAAACGCAACAGTTGTGTAAGACAATTTGCTACTATAGGTCAGTATGGCTTTATTTTACTAGCTATGAGCTGGAATAACAACTGAGGCTACAAATAGCAGAAGAGAGTGGGGCTGAGGAGCAAAAATGTAGCACTATATAGCATGTGGGAAAAGCTTTATAAAGAGAAAACTAGCTCTACTTACGTTTCAAAGGCTTGGTATTTCTGTCTCTACTCAAGTCATTGTTGCTTGGTGGAGGAGGAAAAGCTGGCAGCTAAAACAAATGTTTTACATATTGTTAAAGTGTGTCTTCACCTGTCTGTTTCAGTTTTAGTAAATTAACCCACCACACCACATCTGCCAATCTTGGTCTCTGGTATAGCACAAGGAATAGGTCTCTGCTCACTGCAGGAAGGATGTGAGCCATTAGCATTCCTGAAGAATGTCCTACATACATGGGGTTTTGTTACAGGCAGAGTTGTCTCCATCTGTTTTGTCTCACAAGGAATACTCTAGGGGGATGTTATTTTGGGGAGGGCATGAGTAAAGAAAAGACCAAAGGAAAGAAATGGGAGCTTCAACAATGTTGTTGTGGGTTTTTTCCCTTCTGTGCATTTGATGCTAGTTTTGAAGTTAGGGAATGTAAATTTGAAGTTGGGAAATATGTATTATGTCTGTGTTACTGACTCTTGCTGGCTGAGGCAGAGGGAGAAAGGTCTGACAGCACTGTGATGTCAGCAACTGCAAAAGATTTGGTATCTAAACCTAGGTTTGTCCAGGCAGATGCATTACGATGTCGTGGTTCCTGCTGGCAAATGAAATAGGTGAAGTATTAAGAAAGAAACATACAGAAGCACCTCTTCCCCCAAAGGAGGCTGGTACTGGGGATGGGCTGGGTCGCTGGGGTGGTACTGGAGGCTGTTGCGATGATCGAGTGCTTGGAGGTCTGTCTAGAGGAAACAAAAATTCCAGACTAAACAACTACGAGTTTGGTTCTTTTATTCTTATTAGATCTTTATGAAAAAAGCCCTTGCAATAGCCTGTGTACTTAATATATCATAAAGATATTGTTTTAGTAGGTAATGGACAGTTGCTTTATGATCAATGGTGTACGAGTAGTTACAGGCTCATGTATCCCTTTGCCTCTGAGATGACTCCATGTGCTAGTCTGCTGGCCCACGCTATTTATTTTCACCCCCTGCAGCACAGGGACTGTGTGAAACACCAGCCAGTCTAAATGGCAGGTTTGAAGCCACAACTGCAGGCTGCTGAAGAATCACACATGAAAACATTGCAGGCAGAGGAAGGGACACTTTTGCCACGGCTGTAACAGCTTGCTCTGTTCAAGGTTGCATGCTAATGCTGATACAATATACCCGTATGTTTAGCTTCATGCAGGTTCAGACCAAAGGCTTGAATGCACACATCACATGAAACTGACGAAACTGGTCTTTAACCCAACAGAGCTTGTCTGAAGTAGAAAATCAAGCTTCAAAAGTCACAGAGCCACCAGCATGCTGTAAGTCTGTCACTAAATCTTGTTCAAGAACTACACTGCTGACTTCAAGGAAAAACTTTCTATATTCCATTACCAGACATCTCAAACATGGCTGATGATGTGTGAAAGTACCATTTACAAGTTATTAATAACACTTAATTTTTAGTAATTACCTATATAATCTGTGTTGTTTGCAAGTGACTTGGCAGGAAATATGACATTGTGGTGTGCTTCATCATTATTGGATGGAGGTGGCTCGTAGCCATCACTGTCATGTTCTGCTTCCTCAGGTTCTTCTGTTGGTGATTCATAGTCAGCCTCATCTTCCTGTTCCTGGTCATCATCAGGGCTTTCATAGTCATCATCTTCATCCTGGCAAATATACATAAAAGATGATTGCTGTAACAGGATACTAATAAACATTCCAGTGCAGTTTCCCTGTGGCTTTTCACTGCAATGTTTTTCGCTTTGGAGGATAAAAAGTTTTTACAACCAGTTTGAGTGAAAAAATTCACTGTGGAAATAAAATGAGGAAAGGAGGCAGCATTTTCTTAATGCATACAGCACACACCAGCTTCAGAAAGGAAATGAGTATCATTTTATAACTGTAAGTGCAGTAGAAGGTCAAGATAAGGTGCTTGCTTATTGAAATGCACAGTGCCTTTGTGTTAGTTAACAGACAAAGCACCCTGAAAATACACTGGAGCAGCATCTGATGCCTGTTCTTGTTCATTCTTACTTAATAACATGTACTCTGCAGCCTGCAACTCAACTTTTAAAAATGCTTCAGAAAAAATGAGGTCTTTGGTATGGGTCCTGCTGCCCTCCGCTGACCAGAACCAAACCAGCTTCATACAACTTGCAGGACCTAGTAAGGTCACAGTGAAAATATGGCAGTGGTCATTGCACACATCTTCTGTGCAATCTGCCAAGGCTGCAAGGAAAAGAATGCTCAGTTTGTGGTTGGTATCTTGGCTGAAATTCCCAGCTTAACTCTGCACTGGGGGGCTCTGTAGTTGGTTACTTTTACATTTTGTGCTCCTAAAATAGCAGCAAATCTCCTGCAAACTTAGTAACAAGTGGGTTTTAAAAATCCCACCCCATTTTCTGCAAAAAAACATTGGCACTGGTCAGTGTAAGAGATGTGCATAAACCCATACTGTGCAGCAGTCAGCTTATCCATTCAGCTGGCTGAGCTGTGGGTGCTTCCTATAATGACGTTTACCAAAGCATTTTCTGTGCCAAAAGGCAAAAGGAACTTTTGCAGTCAAGTTGGCTTCAGAAAGTCAGATTCTTCAACAAATCAACTCTAAAGAATAAAATGGCAAGAATTTGCCATTGAGTAACACAGCAATCTTTCCTTTATCAGCCTCCTCTTCAAAGAGCTTGGAATCAGTATATAAAATTCATCGAAGGTTCTGTGGAGACCTGGTTGTAGGCTGTGAGCTTCTACTGGAGCCAGTGGTATTGGACTGCCATTCTGAAGCACTGGCTTGAGTTACTGGGGGAGACCCTTTTCTCTATGGAGAAATCTGTGTGCCGCTACTCCAGTCATTCATGCTCCTCCTTTTCTTTCTCCTCATCCTAACACACCCTGCCATTGCTCACTCCATCTGTGCTGCTCAAAGTAGGCAAAGTGAGAAAGGGTAGGCCTTATAGAAGAGGAAATCCATTCAACCAGTAGGTTTTGTGGTTTTCTTAATCCTGATACTCACAAATGAAGACCAACCACCATCTTCTTGACCTGCATATCCTGTGTAAAGAAATATAACTTAAGGCTTCTTAGCATGCACAACTTTAAACTATCAAGATGTAACTTGACAAAAAGGACACAACAAATCCCAGGTTGGTTCTGAACCACAATACTATGTCACAGGAACAAGGTAGGTCTTTCAACGGCAGGCAGGCATGAAAGGTACCTCAAATAGCATTCTGATTAAAACTAAGACTATACCTATACTTGTATGAGTTGATAAACATGCTGTGACTTCAAGTTTGTCCTACACTTCAGTTTTAAATATAATTTGAGGTAGAATGCTTTCGGAATGAGCACAGACTTCTGACCTCTTTGTTTAATACTGTTTTAGCTTTTATATCAAAAGAGGGGTTTTTTAATTTCAGTGACACTGGGGGAACATGGCAACTTGCAGAGTTTTAAGTGCTCGTGGCCACTTAAGAAAGTGATTGAAGTGAAAACTCAGGACATCTAGAAGCTTCCCTCTCTGATAGAAGGTGCTGTTACGAGTAGGGGCAGGGGACAGAGGTGTTGGAACAGAAATATAAAAGCACCGATACTGTATGTTGGGTTAAAGAAAGGCAGTGGATGCTCATGTAAATTGCTCTGCTCCTGCTTTTCTTCACCATTTTTTTCTATTTTAACAGTATTTTTTCCTGCTGGTTCTCCTGTAACTGCTCTTTATTCTTATTGCAACTTCATGCTCTCATATTTACCTGTTTGTTGTTTTGGGTTCTGACCCCATGTCCCCTCCCTCCTTCTCTCCCCATTTACTGTGCCCTACAAGGATTAGCTCAATATTTTAATATCTTAAGCACTTTTTGTTGTTAGAGGCTCTTTGCCAGTCCACACTCACCTGGGGCTTCAGGACTTTTTTGTGTTTGGGCCCTACAACGAAGATACAAAAAAATTAAATTCCTTCCATTTGCACTTCTTAAAAGTTTGAAGCATACTAAAGTCTGTTGTGAATGAAGATAACAGTTAGCTTTAGCAGTATAATGAACTTTGCATAGATGAGTTTAACTCTGCCCAAAATGCCAAAACCGTACTGCTTTGTTCTTCACGTGCAGGATCCTAATGTAGGCTAAACTGTCTTGAAACAAATTCAAGTCACTGAGGTCAAGTGGTTAGAAACAAGGGGACTCAGAAAATAAATCTACCAGGGGCCTCTGTCCCAAAACCAGAAACTTTCTTTACTAATTCCAGTCAAGCTGCTGAAAGTCAAGTTCAGAAATACTTGTAAGCTTGCTAAATATTCTTCTGGGTTTTGATTCTAGTTTTGAATTCTGATTAATGCAAAGGTGTAAACTCATGTTGTCAGCTGATGTAAAAACGTTGTGTTGACGAGGCTTAGACGTTCATTGCATATGAACATAAATGGTTCTTTTCTCATTCAATGTTCTTGCAAGTTTCTGCTCTTTTATCTATTGCAAGAATATTATATTCAGTAAGTTGTAAAGTATTAAAAAGTGTAATGATGTATAGGAGTGCAAAATGCCTTAATGATGATTTATTTATGCAGTAATGTGTGCCTAAGCTTTTAGCATTCCTAAAGATTGATTGAACTCAGGTAGAAAACTGTATGAAATGTATGTTACTTGGTTCTGGGCACGGCAGAAGTATTTGGGGTCTTTGTGGGCTCAGTCTTTGCAATTCTTAACAGACATCAGCTAAACAAAGTTGGATTTTATATCATTTCAGGCTGTCCCTCTGACCCAGGTATTGGTCAGAAAAGATAGATCCGAAAGCTTTGACAAGAGAAGCTGAATCAGTTTACTTACCATTTTGGAAGGAAAGAAAGCCTCCCTTCATTCCTGTTTATTTCTTGGCTTAATTTACTTACAATTCTAGTTAAAAGAAAGACAAAAAATAGTTAGAAAAATATCCTTGAAACTTGTCATTTTCTGAGCTGCTTCCCCTAAGTACTTGCTAAACTAAGAAAGAATGTTGATTTGATCATTGTGCTGCAGAGTTGCACTACAGCATGTCCAATTGAAAACTGGGCTTTCTTTATACAGACACACCCTGATTTGTTCAAACAAGTGTAAAAACAAACATTAAGCCCAGCAAGCCTTAGATGCTTAGAGTGTGCTAGATGTCATGCACTAGAACACTGCTGCTTTGAATGATGGCAGTTGCATTTGTATTATTTTGCATGGAAAAGCAGATCATGCTTCAGGAAACAGCTTTGACCAAGCTGGTGGTTGCAAAAGCAGGGTTACATGTCCCCTCTGTCTGCTTTATTCTCCTGTCTCCCTTCCTCTATGAGGTATCACCACCAAGATATACCTAATCCAGAATCCCTCCAGTAAAGAAGGTGCAACAGTTGATTCAGTTCCATGTTATAACACATTTTCAAGGCAGGGCAGTAATATCATGGAACATATGAAGACTGCAGCTTTATGTCTAAAGAGATTTTTCCAAGGCAGTGTGCTGTTGTTGCTCATGCACGAGTTGTAAAGAGCCGTAGGGTGAGTGTCAACCAACGAAATGCAATCCCGAGCACAATTCCGGTCAGGAGCATTTATTTCTGTTGCTGGTGCTGCTGCCATCCGCAGCCAGCACAGATGCTGGAACTGAGAGTTTTCTTATTGACTCCCCAAGAGCAGTGCTGAGGTTGCAGGACAGGCATCCTTGAGCTGAGCACTGAGAGCTGCAGAGGTCTGCTCTGCCACTAATGAAGTTTGCCTCAATGACTATTTTGTTTTAAATAACATTTTTGTTTCAAAGAGAGCTTATGATGAATCATGGGCTGATACTTCCTTCACTCGCTTGCTTTCTGAGTGCAGCCCCACCGAGAAAGTCCTGTGGCAACCAAAGGAAATTGGTTGCATACATCTGGTGAAAAATATCCCATTTTACTTCTAGCTTGTATTATTTAGGTCTATGTGAGACAGTAATTGTGGAAATAAAAGTAGTATGAAAAAAGTCAGGAATTCAACATGTCTATCTCGGATTCTAAATTCTGTACAATCTTAACTGTGTTGTTTGTTAGTGCAGAATTCTTTTCCATACATCTTAGTTCTGGTCAATTAAGCTTCATCTCAGTATTGTAAAACCTGCATTTATGGCCAGGCAGTCACCACTCTATTTTGTTTTATTTCTTCTTTCATGTCTTTTTTTCAGCTACTCAGCAATAATAATGCCCTAGCTTTTTCCAAGTGACCTCATGTGTGTTTGCTTTCATGTCTAACTGCTTTTTCTGCGCTGGGACTTAAGGAGGACAAGCTTTCAAGCAATCTAGTATTAAAAAAAAAAAAAGCCAACATCCTGAACCATACTAAAATCTTTCTCTTATTTTGAGTATCCCTTGACTTGCCCTTGCTACTTTCCTAATACTTGCCTTAGTGTACTTAAGATTAAAAGATAAATTCAAGACATAGGGTTGCTCTGTTGTATTATGGAAAATTCTGTGGGGAGAGATGATGCTGCCAGCAAGGACAGGCAATTTCAGATCAGCATGGTCATGCTGGCAGAAAAGGGCGAGGATGGGTAATTTGAAGTTGAGGATTTGTTCTCAAGGATCCAGGTATGAAAATAGAAAGTCAGAGGAAGAATATTTTATGTTTTTTCTTAAGACAGTACTTGGCAATTTTCTATTTGAATTGAATATTGCTGCACTTCTGGAAATAAGCTCATGGTCAAATGTTAATCATGTAAGAGGGATTACAGCTGTCTGACACTGTTACCCAAGCAAATTGTATAAAGCAAGAAAAAAGCCAAGTTATAGGCATATGATCTATATGAGTATATAATGTATGTTCTTCTTTCCCATGCAATCAACACTCATCTGCACAAGAACTGTCCTGCTGCAGGTGGTACAGAAGTTGCTGTGTGAATAATAAATTCCATGTGAAACACCAGGAAATACTATGGGGTGAACAGTGCACTGGGTGTACCAGTGCTTTGGTGGAGATGTGGATTACGGAACTGGTGTGTGGTTTGTTCTCTGGTGTGGAAGAGGTAGAAGGATCTTTCATAATACTGTGGGGTTATTTCAGCTAAAGAAGTAAAATGAAGATCACTGGCTTTAGAGCTAATCATTCTGGTTATTCAGACTTCTGTGGGTAGAAATGAGACCTGAGTGTTGGGAAGCTTTCTGGACTACCCCTGGCCTGGCTGCTATGAGCGTTTGCACCAACTGGGTTTTGAGGAAAACCTGAAAGGAGAATGTTGATCATCTTATCTTGCTGCCAAAAAAATTATTTGTTGCTTAAAGTAACAGTGTCTAATCTTCAAGTTTATTTGAAATGCTTCAAAGCAATGGCTTAGAGAGGCTGTTAGAAGAAAGCCAAGTTAAGAACCTCTGCAGGCAAGGTTATTACAGAAGTGGGTGCGTTGAGCAGCTGAGTCTGCAGCAGTGTGAGGAAGGAAGTGCCCAAACCACACTGCTTTCTGAGCCGGGGAGTGGGCGATAGGCGCGGATAAGGCAACTTGCAGAAAATGTTACTCAGACTTCTCTTTCTCTTTCTGCCTCCTCCACCTCATGCTTTGCTTCAAACTGGCAGGAAGATGAAAATCAAGAACAGTGAAACCCAAACCCAGCCCCAAAGCCGGACTCTGACTCGGCTTCTGCTCACTGAGTGCAGGTACTGTTGTGAGTAGAATCCATTCTAGAGGATGGGGATAAAGGACTTAAGATGGGAGAGAGAGATGGAAGGCAGAGTCCTCTAGGGCCAGGAGGGTGCAGTGTTGCAGGCTGAACATTGTTGAGAGCCTAGTTGGTGCTGCAGTCTTTGTTTTGGCCTTTGAGAAAAGTCTGTTGGGCAGATGCAATACTACTACGTTGACTTCAAAACTGGCTGAATGTCAGTTATGTTCTAAACCTTTCAACAACCTTTAGCCTCCCAGCTGAGAGAGCATGTGTGCACACACATCCACCTCTGCACATGGCATACCTTCTGGAAAGAGAGAGGCCCTGCAGAGTGCTTCATTTTTAGGTTTGCACTTTGACTCTCCTGAAAGTAGAATGACTTTCAGGCTGTGCTGTGTTTGTAGGCTCTGAGTGTGTCCCCTTCAGAACTCAGCTCACTTCCCATGTTTGAACTGGCAGATACAATTATCTGCTTTAGTGCAACGATGCTCTCTTTATGACTGTAAATTTTCACAAGTGCTGTGGGATATGCCACAAGTTTCCTGAAAATTTCCAGTCTCAGATTTGCCAGTGGCAGGGCACTGAGGAACTGAAGGGATCAGCAGCCTGCAGTAGCCTTGACTTACTGAAAACTTAGAAACGTTTTCTCTCAAGATAGTAAGCGATAAGAGTGTCAACAACTAAACTCAGTGTTTATATTGTGGTTCAGGTACTGGCCAACCACCAACATTATTCTGAATGAGACCTTGGCTTTTTCTTGCTTATTGGTTCTGATCGCATCCAGTGGGGCACATTCTGTTCGATGTACTTTAAAGCATTCTGAAAGACTCCCATTTGTTATCCGCAAGTATAAACCTTTATGACCTTCTGTGACTGGAAATAATGATAATGAGCAATAACAAAACTCCATGGGTCCCTCAAGCTGTATCTTGGCCTTTTGTTTCATTAGATTCATTATCAAAATGTTAGTTGCATCATGATTAGGTCTGAGTTTCATTTAGTGCTTAAGACAGAGATTCAGTGTCTGCTGTGTAAAATTTACCATATCCCTTCCCTGTTTCACCAGTGCACCACTCTTTCAGGATGCAGTGTGTTGTTTGTGAACCTTCAGGTCTGTGTGTTAACCTAGTGATATTAGTATTAATTTGTATGGTTCTTCCATAAGATATGGCAAGGTCAAGAGTAATATGAATGAGCACAACAAAACCCATAATACTATGGTTTTTAGCAGGTTTTCACATTGTTACAAAATGCCAAGTGTTAAGCATAGTGTATGTTTGAAGAAAGGAGGTTGTAACTGATAGCTAAGCTGTTAATAACTGAAGAAATTGGTAGGTCAACCCTGATGCTCTCTTATTTAGGATGACAGCTACATTCCTGACAACCTCATCTCTAAAGCTTATGGTCATGCCATCAGCAATTATCTTAATTATTTACCTTAATTTCTCAGTGGGAAAAAGGACAAAATGTAAGAACAAGATGTTCCTACTAATAGATTACTTGTCCCAAACGCTGCTGGTCCTTAAAGGTCAGTGGCAATGGGATAATGACTGAATGTCTCCCGGGCCACAGATTTCCACTGAGTGAAATAGGTAAAACCCTTTGTGGTCTGGAACCTGGAGACTGGGTTCCATTACATGTAATCAGGTGTTCAAAGCTTCTTCTTCAGTGCCATAGCAGATCTACATAGGTCACTGGAACAGAAAGGCACGTATCTTTTCATGGATTGGCAACTATGCTTAAATTCTTAAAACATGTTTAGTATTCTTAAATTTTTACCACATGACTTGAGAGTGATACTCTGCATGTTCAAATAGAAATGCATATATTCAAGTAGAAATAATGTGTGGTGGCATTTTCTATCTAGCCTGAAGAAGCTTTACATCAGCCCCAGAATCTCTCTCCACTCCCACTTCCCTGTGTCCACCCAGAGCAGTTCAACTACAGCAAGGGCTTCAACTGACACAAAGTCAATTCTATAAACTTTTCTCTAAAACTGCCTTTATAGGAACCTAAGTGCAAGAGGTCTCAGGGTTCCAAAGAGTGACAGCGCCATCACGGTAAATATTCTGAATGACAGAGAAAAGTTATTATTTTCTTTATTTTCTTCATTTTCCATCCTCCACAAGAGGTAATGCCCCAATAGATATGTGGAAAAGATTTCCTTAACCATACCAGTAAAAATCACCTGGTGTACAAGACCTCTTGCAGGTATACAGGAAAGGTAGGAGGTGACCACAGACAAGAATGGGTATCCCTGCTGGGGTACATGAAATGTGGAGTTTGTTATGATCCCTCAAGAAATCTGTGTATGGCCAGTGCATGTGCAGTGCATCCTGTGCAGACTTCTTGTCCATTAACCCTTTCGACTGCAAAAGGGTTGCCAGAATAGAACTTGCAGGACTGTTTGGAGGTGTCAGCCACTTTTATATGTTACCCTTACATATGTAAATGTTTTACAAAGCTTTCCATAGTCTTCAGCCCTTTTAACGGAGAGTTTTAAAGATTTTCGGAGGTATTTTAAGTTTCAAAATACTGTTTAAATCCTTTTTATGTATTTAAAAATAAGCCACAAGAAAATTCATGGAGACGTGCACCTGTAACACAGCTGATGGAGATTAGCTTTCGATAATTATGTTAATAATAACAGAAGATTGTGTGGGGTTTCTCTTAGTTTCAGGAAATGGCCTATGATACTTCATAGAATCATAGAATCCCAGACTGATAACAGTTGGAAGAGACCTTAAAGCTCACCAGTTCCAACCCCCTGCCATGGCCAGGGACACCTTCCACTAGAGCAGGTTGCTCCAAGCCCCTGTGTCCAACGTGGCCTTGAACACTGCCAGGGATGGGGCAGCCACAGCTTCTCTGGGCACCCTGTGCCAGCGCCTCAGCACCCTCCCAGGGAAGAGCTTCTGTCTCAGAGCTCATCTCAATCTCCCCTCTGGCAGGTTAAAGCCATTCCCCTTGTCCTGTCCCTACAGGCCCTTGTCCAAAGCCCCTCTCCAGGTTTCTTGTAGCCCCTTTAGGCACTGGAGCTGCTCTCAGGTCTACTCTTCAGGAGCCTTCTCTTCTCCAGCTGACCCAGCCCAGCTCTCTCAGCCTGTCTCTATAGCCTAGGCACTTAAAGGTTCTTGTAAATGTCACAGAATCATCCCCAAGTAATGACAGAGTTATATTTAACACCTGATCGGTAGCTTTGCTCAAAAGTATACATTTAGTCTAACCATGTACCAGGCTCAGGAGGTGACTGAGGAGCAATTGCTCTTGTACATGTACATTTTATTCCTTCCACTGGCTGCAAGTGTGACTCTTGCTATTTATATTAGACATTTTTACAGAACATGCTCGGAATTTAGCACTGTTGTTAAGCATCAGGTACTATACAATATGCTAATGTGTGTTTCAGCTTGTAGAAAACCTCCTACTAGGTGGGGCTTGCAATTTGATGTGAAGGCAAGGTGTGACTGTTGTTGTAGCAGTCAGCAGCAAGTACTTTGCACGTTGGAGAGAGTGTGGAGATTCTGAAGTGGTGAAAATAATGTTGAAAATACAACAAGTTCTTTTACTGATGAATTTTATTCTGCTGGGGTTTTTTTTGTTTAGTTTAATTTTGTTTTTAGATGGCAACCACTTTTCTTTCCCGTTAAAGCCCTAAATTCTTGTTGCAAACAGTGGCATTACACGGAGGACCCCACACCTTGTCCCATGTGTTGTCCCATGTGCATTCAAAATAGTCTGGTGAACTGTTTCACTTTTATAAGAGTGGGGAAAGCTGAGAACGAGGGCATTAGCTCCAGAACTTTCATTCAGATTGATTAATTTACTTATTTATTCAGTTCTTCAAGTTGTGCAAAAAGTTGAAGTCTTTTTTTTGAAGCTCTTGATTTCGAGTTTTTATTGAGAAGATCAGAAGATCTGACTAGAAAAGGCTGTCCACTTGCTGCTGGTGTGATACAAGGTAAGTGGACTGTGAAAATCAAATTTCCAAAGCATTTTTGAGGTATCAATAGATTAGATGAGGAGATAGTAGCAAATCCATATTGTTAGATTTCATTTTGACTGTTCATCTATGACATTAATATCTCTTGTATGTGTGGGTTTATTAGACCTTCCACTGACTGTTTTTGACTCAGGAATTTGAAAGCAAATCAGAAGTTCTCAAAATCAGAAGCTCAAACACGGAGAACACAAGGCACTTTTGCCAAATGCCAATTGGGGCATCTTCCTTTGTAGTATCTGGGCCCACTGGCTAACACTCATGCACCACCAATCCCTATTGTGTGAAAGTATAGATATGATCTGAAGAAACATGTAATGTCTTTGCATATCTGACCTGAATAGAGGTATTCTCCTGCCCTCAGATTTAGCCACCAGCTTACACAGAAGCATGTGAATGTGACAGACCACACAGGTATTTCAGAATGTTTCGGTGCTCTTGGCCTCACCAAAACCTCTTACACAAGCCCTGATGCATCAGAAAAGGTGAAGCAGACTGTATCTCATGTAACAAAATCAAGATATGCATAGAGGGAGTGAGTCTGGAACTGGGAAATGAGCAGCAAAGGAACTGCTGTGTTGGTACAACTTGAGTTCCTTGTTCCCTCCTTATTTGTTTAGAATACCATGAAGAGCGCCGCATGTCTTACAGTTAGGAACCTTTTAACCTCCAGCTTAAATATGTACCAGAGAACTCATAGCAAAATAAAATCCTTTGTTCTTCACCGTAAAATGTTAGAAGCAGCTAGTTTCTCTATTACTCAGTATTAACTTAAAGAGATATTGTTCTTCATAAGTAACTTCTTTAAAATTCTGGAATCTGTTCAGATAAATTAGAAACTTTTTCAAGGGCTAATCCACAAGAGCTCAGGGAAGCTGAACAATTGAACAATTCTGGAACATTCAATTCAATGTTCAATTGAATGTTCCAGACTGGTTTATCTTTAATGCCTGCTTACAGGAAAAGCACATGATGAAAATCACTTGAACTCCTCAAGTGTCATAAAAAGAAAGTCATACGTGACTTTATTCATTGCTTTGAGCTTAAGTTAACAGTTAAACACCAAACAGTTAAATCATACTTTAAAGGTAATTCTTGCAAAAAAGTTTAACCTTAGTGTAGCTGCTGTTAATCAAAGAATTTATGGATGAGTTCTTCTGAACATCCCCCAGACAATATTTCCATATTGTATCATTGTGCTTGAGCAATCATGAGAACCCTCCTTTCATTTTGGAGTAACTTTTACTTTCTTGGTACACCACAATTAACAGGTCTCTATCTAATCACTTGCAAATCATTTGCCCATATTTCCTATGAGTTTTCACTGCAGATCAGCTAAGATAACTCTTAAAGTGGTTTGGCTTTACTTACGGCACTCGGAGTTTGGGAAATTTCTGAATGTCATTTTCAGTCATGTTCTGAAAAGAAAGCACATGGTACATGTCACAGAGCTGTCCATGGAACACCCTGCTACAACAGAAGTTTGCATATGCAAAATGAGGCATCAAGTCTCACCTGGTAGGAATAGCGAGTGCATAGAAAAACAGTGTAAGATAACAGCCTGTCCATCCCATGGCTTGTAAGAGAAATGAACCCATTGCCATCAAAAATCCTCTCTCTCTTTTTCTCATTTTGCTGGATGTTGTTTTTTATGTTATGTATCTGTATAAAACCAGCTGGAGGTTAACAAACATCGTGTGTATTTGATTACACACAAAGGACTTCAACAAAATAATCACATGTAACTTCAAAGCTGCGATGTTTTAATGAGAGCTTGTTATAATGACCTGTGAGGAGAAGTAAAATCTTAAACCAGCACTTCCCATATGAGAATGTTTGTTTACCAGCAGATGAGCCATTCTTCCAGGATTAATGGGACTCTGTGCAAAGTCAAAATCAAGTCATTTGCTTTTCTGATTTTGGTTCTAATCCAGTTCTTTACTGGTGGTGTAGAGTCACATTGACTTATAGGCAAGCTGCTTCTCAAAAGAAGTGGAATCAAACCCTCTTCTACAACAGCTTTCTCCTGGAGATTGTCGCGATGCTGAAGCTAAAGCAGGTGAACAGACAGTAACCCAAAGAATTCCAGCACTATTTTTAAGTCTTATATTTTTTTTTCTCCTTTCATTCTGTTGCTTTCTGGATATCTTTTCATTGTACATTGCTATCACCTAGCATACAGGAAAACATATCCTTTATGTAGTTAGTATTATTAAAGAAGTCTTGAGATACTATAATTCATCTTGTTGGACAGTGTCAAACAATTGATAGAGAGCTACATCCTCGTAACATCCTGTGCTACTGATTATGGTGTGAGCCAAACAGAACATGGTCTGCTTGAGCCCATCAGCAATGGCATTCTTCCTGGCAACTGTGGAATTATGCTTCTCACAGAAAATATAAAAGGACAGAATATTTCAAATGCTCTTTTAAACACTTGTAGTTTTAAGGCAATGTGCAATGAAATGCGCTTTGTAAAGGTCTGTTCCTGTTAGGGAAGGCAAACTTCTACCATAGATTCTGATTTCAGGCTATCTTGCTTCACATCTTTTTAGTGCAGGTAAAAAATACGGTATTTAGGTGACTTCAGAAGCTAGACATATTGAATTCATTTATGTCTGCATAGCAAAATCAGGCAAAGTTTTGCACGATTGCAAAGTTTCAGGGCAAAACAGTGGATTTTAAAATAGAGCATCATTTGCTGGAGTTTTGTGCTAAGAACCCTATCTGTAACATCACAGTACATGTAAAATCACATGTTCTAGTGGAGATACGGTTTGAAAACTTCTTGGACTTAAGAGCAGCCTTTGCAGCCTAACAGAAGTCTTTCTAGAAACTGTGTGTTTGTTTCTTCCCCCTTCAACCATACTACAGTGATTAGATCCCAAATTGTTCCTGACCTGAAGCTGAGCTGCGCTAGGTCTTGAGAACTTTACTATGCTCCTGCAGAGAGGGTTAACCCTCTTCTTCTTCCATTATGTTCAATGCTGAGTTTAGGTCAGATTAGAGCGTTATGAAAACTTTGGAGAAACTGTTTTGTGTAGTTAATCACAAGGTTCACACACTCCCTTTGGAACATGGATGATAGTCTGGTTCTTTCTGTCTTTCTGCCAAGAGTAAGAAGTTTCTAATTCTGCATTGGTACACAATGCTATAAATGATTTTCAGCACAGAACTAATCTCACCTGTGGTTTCTAGCACTATTTTGCCTCTGGGAATACTCACAGAGGTAAAACACAGAAAAACTGTACTCTCTGTGTGGAAATGTTCTGCAGGATTTACTGAAGAACCCTAATTTTTTCTAAAGACCTTTTAAGCCTTCTGGCAATAAAGCTGATAAAAGTTACCAGTTTAAACTTTCAGTTTAAACTGCCATGGTGCCACTTTTTAAATATTAGAGAATTTTACTAGAATAAGTTACATGGAATCTCTCTGGTCTTCTTCCTACTACATCTCACCTGGACTTTCCTTGTGGTAGGTTTGTAGTAGATGCAGAAATGTGACTTTGAAACTAGGACGTTCTGATGAATAAGACAGCAGTACTGTTACAGTCAGGTTTACCAGATAGATCTGACAGTAGACAGAAAACCTGCAAACCCTCAGTCCAGACAGTTCCTTCCGTGCTAATGTAATTTGGCACTTTCCAATAACTTACAAAATTTAAAGAGGTATTTCTGAGAAAAACATTCATACAGAGAAGTAATTGTTTTCTCAAGATTGCATTGTACTCTGCAATGGTCCACTGAAAGTCTCCTTTTGTTGTTCAGTTTCACAGGTGAACCTTTTTAGATAGTGGCAAGATACATATTTTTATACAAATGGCAGGTAGGTCAAAAGCTTAAAAGTTTTAAGTCTCTGCAGAGGTGAGCAGCAGCTTAGTACAAAAGCATCCTTTGCATCTGCTAGGATGCTTCTGAAGAAATGCTGCACTCTTTGGCAGCCCTGGAATAAACAGTTGGCTTGATGATCTTAAAGGTCTTTTCCAACCCAGTTGATTCTACGATTCTATGTATTTAGAGAAACACTCTGGAAATAAAAAATGATAGAAATCACTTAGGAATCACACAGTTATTGCTTGTCTTATTTGTACCTCAGAGACTCCAGAATTTCATAATGCTTCCAGACCCAGAACTCCCACTCCAGCCACAGCTCCTTAGTGCTTGAGCTAAGGAGTAGCTCTCAGAGGTTGGTAGGATAGATCCTGTGACAGTGACACACATCTGAATAATTCTGACTCCACCCTGTAGGAGGGAAGTGTCATATCCTGTTCCTGTGAAGGGTGCTTGAAAATGTGATACTATCTTTAAATGAAATGTCAAAAAGCTTGATCCATTAGGACAAGTAAATGAAATACAAGGCTTTAGAAGAGGTTTTCATAGCTTTCCTCACCTTCATTAATTATACAGATGATCAAAATGGCTACTTTGGGGGGAAATAGTATAGTTAATATTTGGAAATAAAATAAAAATAAAATAATAAAAAATAAAGTAAAAAAAAAATAACGCAGTAATAAAAGCCCTTACATATCCTCATGGATGTATATTAAGACCTGAAAACATTAGCTATGTTAATGGAAGTTGTCAGCTTTACTAAAGTTAAGCCATGTTGTTGGTAAAGCCTGAAGCAATGTTGATTTAAACCCACAAGGACTTTGCTTACTGGTTTTGCTGCTCTTTAAGTTCACTGATTTTGTATATTGCTATATAAAAAATTTAAAGAAACCTTATTTAAAGTATATAGGCATGAAATAGTGATTACACTAGAAAGCCAATCATTCAGACCAGTCTATTTCTTCTTTAGTAGGGGAGGACAATTAATAAATGTGAGTTTTCTGTAGTTAGTATTTCAAAACAAGGACTTCCTATAAAGGAACAGATGAACTCAAGACAAGATTGTGGTTTTACAACCTCCCTGTCAGTTGAGAAGGTACATAAATAGATGCATATTAAACAACATGTTTGTGCTCCCAGCATTCTGTATGTAAAGAAAGACAGCTGGCTGATTTTAGCAAAGGCACTTACTGCTCGTATTTGTGCCTCAGTAATCATCTCAAGCTCAGCACTTCGCATCTGCTGATGCAAACTAAGAAGTTGAAATAATCACTTGGTGGGAATTTTGCAGGAAGGAGTTTTTACAGATCCACTTACCAGAAATCGTTGTCCATTTATGCTGTGCTTCCTCACGACTTTCTCACAGTCCTTATACTTTAACTGTCAATGACAAGAAGATGATTATTGCACCCTTCATTTTGAGAATGGATAAAGACACTTAGACAAAACGTTTTCTTTGGGTAGATGCTTCAAGTCACCCTTTCATATGCTAGAGCCTGTCTAAATGGCTCATATTTTTCTGTAAACATGGATTTTTAAGAGAAGAATTCTGCAGTGGACTTGACAATTCCATCCATTTAGGAACATGTAATTCCTCACATTTGAAAAACACCTCACAGTTGCCTGGCCCAAACAAATATCTGGACAATGGATAGTTGTGGTATTGACAGTTGTGGAAAACAGGAAGCACAGCAAAAGCTTGTTATCTTGGAATACTGAAGTCCTGATCCCAGTCTCTGAATTCATTGTGATCAAAAAGCTTCCTTTTCTGGATAGATATGTTGCTTATTAATCCTGAAAATTATCTGTAATATTTAGAAAGTTTTTCCACAATATTCTGTTTTATAGTGGTATTTAGGACAAGGACAGGCAGTTCAGAAACTGATCACTTACATAATAGAATAAAGCTCCTGGTCCTACCAGGCAAAAATGTAACAGTAATTTGGGGGACTGAAATAAAGACCAAACCAACAAACCCAAACTCTAGCCACATTTAGCAAGACCCGGATCTTAAATATTTCCAGCAGGTGTCTTCAGGGTTTTGGGTTTGTTTTTTTTTAATTTGATCAGAAATAGCATGTAAGAATATTACTTATATTTTTTATCTGGTTAGAATGACATTTTCCTGTTCCAAGTTGATCAAGTGCGTACCAGAAGGAACCCAAAGAGCAGGCAAAGTGACATTTTGGACCCTTCGGGACAGAAGAATGGCTCTGGTCCTGCCTGAAACTTTAGTTAGGGAAAGTTAAGCAGACACATGATCCTGTGCTGCTGGGATAATTTCCCTAAAGCAGAGAACATCTTGTAGGGAGCATTATGTCCTTTCTTAGTTTTATCTTATTTATTCATTTTAAGGAGTAATCTTGTAACTTGGTGTTATATGAGAGCAGGTCCTGAAAAGATCTGAACAGCTGAGAGAAGGTTTTTAGGATACTTCAGTTATGCATGCAGAAACAGTCCAAACTCTGCTAAATACATCAAGACACAGATTAAGACATTTGTGCAGACTGAGGACTTAAAGCTGCAAATACTGTCTCTGTCAGTGAGTGTTACCATGACGTTACCAGCACAAGTCTGTATGCAGCAGTGAGCAACTGCCATGCTTGGTAGAACGCATCAGTGGGACTGAGACCTCATCGCATTCGTAAAGTAGTTGATGAAAAATACTGTCTAGCTATTAAAAATAACTATTTCATTAACATATTACCAGTATGAACAGCTTCGCTTTTTTTAATAAATAAATAAATAAAGTCTTTAGATATTGTTTGAAGGTTTGGTTCTTCATTGATCCTTCCCTATTTTGAGTGTATAGTATAAATTAGCAGAGGCTTGAAGTTAACACACTAGATGTTACTACTCTTATGTATGAAGGATTCTTATTTGATAGAAACTTAGGAACCTAAAATTAGAGGTTTGCAGGTAGTTGCTAGTTTCCAAACATAGGCTTTGTGTTTGAGCTGCTTGTCTTTATTAGCTGGTTTTGCATTCTAGTTTCAAACTTGCCTCGACTCCTCAAATAAAAGTCTCATAGACTTACAGGAGCCAGTGAAACAATAAGCTTCACATGATTTTAAAATCAAGCCCAAACTCTTACAGGTTTTATAAGTCTGGTCTGGCAGCTCACTTGAAAATCAACCACCTATGCTGGCAGTGCTTGCAAGTCTTCCCAAATCTTCAAAATCTCATTAATCTGAATGTTAAACTCCAGGCTGAAAGTTTTGGACTTTGGGAAGAACATATTCAGCTGCAAGGGACACAGAGCAGGCCTTGTCTCTGACATGAGGAATTTACAGAGAAAACATAGAAATGAAATTGCAGTGAAATTAGCTCAGTTACACATCCCTGGGTGATCACAAAGGTTTCAGCATTCCTGTATTGCCTTTCAAAGTACTTCTTCAGTGTGGAAACTTCTCTGCCATTTAAAATTAAATGTATAGATAGTCACAAGTGAAAAAGATGTGAAAAGAAACGGAAGTTCCCAGCTCGTTACACAAGGCAACATCAGAAAAAGTAACAGTGACCAGAAAAAGGGGATAGCTACTAACCTTGAGCCATGAGTTTTGCCCAAGAAGGTTTAGATGAGGGAAGTCAAACCAAAAGGCAAATAGTTTTTCCAACTGAGCCTAAAACCCGTGGAGTCCGTGTATCTACAACTGTGAAGTTGTGCTGGGTTCTCATGGATGTGAGACAAAAAGACATTCAGAGGCACATTTGTGAACACTAAACAACTTGAAAAAACAAAATACCTTCTGAAAATTGTTGAAGAAGAGCTAAATAACTTGTACTCTCCACACATTAATGCCTTCTACAGTTGTTAACATGCATTGTATCAGCAATTGTTGTAGTAAAGTGTATATTTTCTCTGAAAAGCCACAAGTTTCTCTTATATGCAATTTAAAACACACTTTCAAGATTCACTTATAGAATTTACTGGCCAGTTTGGTTCAGCTTCTTGACAGTGATTTTGCTTTTGGTTTTGCAGCAAGTTCCGGCCATTATAAAAATGTGTAAATTTAACACGAACAATGCTGCAGCAGTTTGTTCCTCCATCACACAAAGACAAAGCACAGCTAAACTTACTGTCCTGAAGTAGTCTGCCAAGTCATCTGGGTTCCAGGTAAGCACGTCTGAACGGTAGGGAATGTTCCTCAAATCCATTGTGAAGTTTTCTCCTCTAGGCAGATAGAGAAGATTCAAGCAGTACTGTCAAAGGAACAGCCACATATTCCTTGTGTGCGACCACCTCCAGCGTGTCCAGGAATCCCTTGCCTGATGCTTGGCTTCTTCTGTTTAAGAGCTGTTGGTTTTTTAAATGTAGGACTCAGTTGTTAGGACCTCTGAGAGAGATACTGCTTCCTCTGATACAAAATGGTCTCTTCTCAGAAAAGCTGTCATCTCGTCAGCCTCACCACTTCCTTTGTCTGAATATAAATAAGTAAACAAGGAAGCACAGCAAAGCATTGAAAATGTTCTGCCTGCTGCACATAAGTAAGCTCCTATGAACTCTTATTTGCTTGTAATTGTATACATTATGTATTTACACACTCTAGAGAGTATAAAAATGCATGTTATCTGCATAGACATTGGTTGCTTTGCAAGTCTAGCCCAGGCAAGCCCCCCACCAAACAAGAAAACGTTCACTTGAGAGAAACTTCTTCAACTTACCTCGCTACCTGAAGTGTCACATCATCTTTCTCTGATCTCTGCAGCAATAAAGGGTTGTTGGAGCTGTATATAACATGAATTAAGGATGGGATTAGAGCCAGCATTCCTTCAAATAAGGAATCTCTTGGTGAAACTAAGAAATGGATAAGCTTAGATGAAAAATGATTACATTAACATTGTTTCAGTGCTCCTTTTTTCAGCTACCTCTAATGAGGATTTTTGTGTCTGAAAAAGAATCTACAGAAGCATAATATCAGCACAGGGACATGATAGACTGCATCTGTCATGTAGAGGCACTTCAGGCACCACCCTATCCCAGGTCCCTTTGGTGACACTCGATTTAGTAGTGCCAGATGTGCCTGGTTTTTAAAAAAGCCACATGTCCCTTCTCCCTGTTCCTGATGTGGAGCTTCTTCCCACAGCTGCATTGGTATGAATGCTTGGGGTCACTCTTCACAGCTGCTCTGGTAGACTGCACCAAAGGTGGTATTTTGTGAGCTTCCTGTATTAGTAGGAGTAGATGCATAGTTCTGAAGCACTGGAAGGGAAAGTTTCTCTTCCTTCTAATGCATCACTATCACTATTTCTAGTCATTGAAGACCTTCTAATCTTGGGTCTGTAATTTGCAAGTGGATGGCATCCAAGTGCCTGTATTTGAGATCGTATCTGCAAGTCTCTATAGTGTTGTACAGAAGAGTTTTCCTTTTGAACTTCTAGAGTCTGATTTAAAGTACCTTACTTTTTCTGCAGAAATTTTGGTAAATTATGGTAGCAGCATGGTATTTAAAGCTCTCTAAAACTAAACTGCTCTAACAGCTGTTCTAAACAGTGTAGCATCTATCAAATACGTGCTATAGCTGTGTTTTATAGGTTCTTATTTGAAATGACCTGTATGAATCATCTGAGGCATGTACTGACAATATCACAGAAACATCACCACCTTTTCACTCTAAATCTAGATTTGGGGATGGAATAGGACTAAATTAACTTGTGACAAAGAATCCCCAAGGGAGAAGTTATTTTGGTGGTGCATTAGTGCCAAAAGAGAGATTCCATAGCTTACATTTGAGACACCCCCTCACACCCTTGACAAAGAAACAGGTTTCTTACAGGGCAGAGACAGGAAGAAGCCTCTGCTATAATTTCTAATTGTTCATCCTATTGCAGTATTTCATTACATTCTAATCTAATTTCTATCCTAAATGCAATGTAGCAGCTCTAATTTCAATTGTGCTATTCCTTATTTATACTAATATAAAACTAATTAGTCTGGTCAAAATTTAGTGAGATGATGGTATAGAATAATCATAGTATCATTTATTATGATGCTGAGATAGGAGAAAAGCAGTCACCTTTGAAGTCCATCTCCTAGAGCAACCAACATGGAAGTTCTAACACATTTATCTAATCATTGTTATTTGCTTGGATCCTGTCTGTCACTGAGTGCATTACAGCAACGTTCATATTTCATACACTTTGCAAAACCCAGCTCACATGTATTGAGCTTTGTCTTTAGAACTTCTTTTGTAAGGGGCTAAACACATAGGATGTGGTGGCCAAGCGAGGCTTGCTGAGGAAACATCCTCTTGTATTTTCTCCGTTTGAATTTTCTGATACTCTGCTAGATCAGAGTAACAATTTGAAATTGCATTTCCAACCTATGTCTGTATTTGAACATGTCAATGGAAAATGTTGTTCAACACCCAAATAACCATGGCCCCCAGTCCCAACCAGACCGCAGAGAATTGTTTTGAAAGATGCTTTTAAATGTCTGTCTTTTGCCAGAAAGGCAATGTGGCAAATTCCATATTCCACACAAGGAAGATCTTGATCCTGGAAAAAGACTCACATTAATTCCTCATGCTTTTAATTGTTCTTTCCTACTTATGTTTCTCTTTTCAGAGTCGCTGTTATTACCTCCAGAACTAGCACTTCCACCCATGTGCTCCTGGTGTTCCCAGTGTCTTGCACTCAGGGAGGCAATTTCAGCATTGATGGTCACCAAGAAAGGCATTTGAAAGAGAAAAAGTTGAATATCCACACTAGTACAAGCCCACATGCCAGAATCTTTAATCATATTTGGGTAGGAGTCTACAGGAGGATGTCTGGGAAGCAACCACATCTGAGGAAGACAGAATGACGGCAGGGAAGGCATTAGGGCACTTAAATGAACTCCAGCTAACATAGACAGGGCCACATAGATAGCGTTCCTGGGGAAGAATGTCGAGTTTGACAGGCTGAGTGCAGCGCTTTTGGTTGATAACTAAACACATTTCAGAAGTGACAGTCCTAACTGTCTACTGGGAATGATGACATGCTTTGAATCTTAGTAGTTCATCCTTAAATTGCAAGAAATGGAGACATAAAAAGTAGGCAGCACAAGATGTATCTGTTCCATAATATAATTTGTTATATAATTCACTTGGCAATTTTGCATGGAATGGATTTTAAGCACTTAGCTTTTCAAATGTTGAGAAACATTGATATTATGACTATTATCAGGTACCTTTTCCATTGCGACCTTTTTTGGTTCTTTTTAAAGAATTAGGTCTTTTGTAGCTGATGCCTGCAGTGGCACAACCTTCACAGAAAAGATGTGTTTTCAAGTAACATCTGCCAGTGGTACAGTTCTGTAACATGTACTGGGGGTCTGGTGACTGATGTTTGGAAATGTGAGAGTCTAACCATTTTAGGCAGTGCAGGAGTGAAATTCACACTGCCCACATGCTGCTGCCTTCAGAGAGTCATTATTCATTTTCCATCTTCTCTCACCTCTTTCTGGTGGTGTTCTGTTGCACAGCACCCTGTTTTAAGTGGAGCCAAGGGCTCACTTTGAAAAGCTTTCAAAATAGCCTATTTTTCTAGAATAACTCAGTTTAAATTTTCCTAGAGCCAAGCAAAAAAAAGTTCAAACCGCGTCAAGAGTTGTCTTCATGTTCATCTCAGTCCCAAAGCAAAGTGAATCTTTATGACATGTTTTTCTTTTGTCCTGCCCAATTTTGTTTTTAAAAGACTTGGGTACTTTTTTCCTTTTATCCAGGGAATATTTACTGTTGCCAGCCTATGTTTCCTCTTTTATCATTACATGCCTTATTCCCAAGCTGTGTATCTATCTATATCTACTTTCAGTTTTATACCCTTTAAAAATCACTTCAGTATTGCCATATATTCCTTTCTATCTTTAATAATCACTGTGACACACTTTCTACTCCGCAAATGTCCTTCTCTATTATTCCATTAGTTCTTGCAGTCAGGTGTTAACCTTGACTTCGCAATGCCTGTGCATTAATACAAGATCCCAAACCGAGGCTTTGCCGACTTAAACCTGCTCTTTTGTGGGAATGGAACTGCAAGTCTTCCTCACCACCTAGTGGGTAACTCACAGGCCAGCACCCAGCAGTCGGGACTGGTCTCCTCAAGAGCAAGGGTGGACCCTGACCTGCTGACACTGAAGTTGGATACACGTATCATATATATTCATATATATTCATATATATGAAGTCCCACTTCAATGGGACTAGCAGTTGAGTGGATGCCAACCAACCTACCAGCATCTGAAATGAAACTGCATCTGAGATACTGGCTTGAAATCTGATTTCACGCTGACAAAATCCTGCATTGTCTTTCTGAACTCAACATCAGCAATGATTTTCCTGGATGGAAAAAAAAAAGTGTTACTTGAAAAAGCACATTTTCCATTGCTGGTAAATTGTGTTATTTTGAATAAGTGGAAACACAGAGTTTAGGCAATTCCAAAATGCCTGAGATCCTAGAACACAGCCACTAGAGTGCAGCTGAACTCTATTAACAAAACAGAGCATCAGATATCAAATATATTAAGGTGCTGTAAAAAGAAAGGCAAGTACTTGAAGATACTCTAGCAAGAGTGATGTTTTTTCAGGCACATATTTTGTTCTACTCTGTTAGGTCAGAAATGGCGTAACATGTCTGGTTTACCCAGAGACCCTGCAAGCAAATGCAGGGAACACCTAGCAGACCTTAGAAAAGATGTCTCCTAAGGAAACACTGAGCTAATGTTTTGCTTAGTCTGGGAAAGGGAAGGAAAAAGGAGGCACTCGTGTCCTCCCTGCAGAGCTGGGCTGTGCTGTGCCTGCTTGTGGGACCCTGCCAGCCCTACAGGCAGGCCTCTCCCAGTGGCAACTGCTTTGAGCATCTGGGGTTTTCTCAAAAAGGAGAATTAAACCAAAGCTTAGTGTTGCTGTTATGGTGAGGCTGCTGGTTGTTCTGGTGTCGAGGAGAGGTGATCAGACTCAAATTCTTTTTATCAATGCTGTAGTCAAAAGGGGTGATCAGAAAAGTCCCTGAACAAAGTGATAAAAGCTGGAAAAGGGAGAAAAAGACAAAAGCGTATCCACCTTTTTTATCCAAGGGACATTTTGTTGCTGTTTCTTAGGTCTTATATGCCCTGGTTTCCCTCTGAAGGGCTAAAATAGGTTGGAAGGTGCTGTGACATGATCAGCAGCATACGGATG